TACGATGCTGATGTTGTTGGCAAAGATTCAATAGGTGATTGCAAAGTGAAATTGAAACATGTCTTCGACGATGGTAAATTTGACGAATGGGTCAAACTACCGTCAATGCTCGGTTTGTCGTCCCATGGTCAAATTCATGTCGTCATGAATTTTAGAGTAAGCAACATTTTCGTTTTTTTTCTCTTTTACAAAACAACTAAATATGTGTCTTCTTGTTTTAGCCGTCCTAAATCCATCTATATTGGTTCACATGAATGACTTCGATTGGCTTTTTTTTACCAAATTGAGCTTGATTTCTTTTCTCTACATTAGCATAGTGCCTTATGAATTCTACTATGATTTTGTTGCTCTGTAGTAAGAACTTTTTTTTCGATATAATTCATCAATAAATATGTACCGAACACAAACACATTTTTCATCAACGTAGAGAGAGGTCAATGACAAGAGTGAACATGAAAAAACTATCAAGCTTGTTTTTGTGCAATGGCGAATTCGCACAATCAAATAGAAAGAGAAGAAAAATGTGGCTCGTTAAAATGCATCTTCTATCGATATAAAAGCGTTATCTTTCTTGAATCTTCTAGGTGAATAATCTGACCATATCATCTGTATATGGGCTTCGTATCTTTTGTAAATAGAAAGTCTTTCGTCAAAGTATCATTTCACCCGATGCAAAGATATTGTACGATAGCCCTCCATCCCGAATGCGTGCAAATATTGATGACAGTCTTTGTGGAGAGAGATGCAATGGTTGAAATATAAGCACTGACCAATCTTTCCAAATGCTTAAAGAAAACTGCTTATTGTCATTTTTTCTCACAATGCAACGTCGCGTTCATACTTAATTTATCTTTTCTTGCGAACAGAACAAAGCCCATTCTATTTCTGATTCTATAGTACATCTCGCATTCAATCAGGGTGTGCGTGTGATTGTGAGTGAAAACCAGATCCACACCCCACACCCTCAAGTGAGTCGAAAACGACTAAAGTGTAACTGTATGTGGACGAATAGATGAGAGAAAATGAAGCTATACAGGTTTCGATAAGAACAAGTTTTTCTTTTTCTTCCTATCATTTCTTCACCAAACAGATGAATGATTCATAAAGAAAAGGACGCAAATATGTCGGTACGTTCGATTTATTCCCACTGATTCATCTTTCAGAGAAAGTTCTGCAGCTGTCAAGAACTATTTGGAAGATTGAATCAGCTCGTGGACTGTGAAAATCATACATTAACAATATTTGCAGTTGACATAATAATCATATTTTTAACTGCTCTAGAAGAGTTGATGAAAAATTTTGATTGGGTTGGTTTTTTCCAAGTAATCATAACGTCATTCTTTTTCTTTATTCATATAAATGTGTTATGTGCGAATAAAGTCACGATTTATTCTATAGTTCTTTGGCGAAGAAGGTTAGTTTTTTTCAGATAGACGAAAATTTTGTACAGTCAACGTGTTTGCTACTTAATATTTCTCTTGTTCTACCAAAGGTCGATAAGATAACTTTTATGTTGAACAAAACAAGGTAAATAATTCACATAAAGGGTCCCCTCACGAAATCCCAGTTTTTCGGGAAAAAGTTCGAAGTGGAGTTTTTACCATAGGAAGATGCAGTGAAATTTCCTCTTTCAGAATATATATACCTTTTCGGAAAAGGGCTAAATTTTAAGAAACTTTCGAAGCTAATTTCGACCACGCATGATGTTTTCTTTAAGTTTTCTAGTTTTGAAAAAACTGCATATTATTATTTCGGCATTCCCCAGTCGAGACTTCCTACTAGAATCCCGGCGAAATCCCTGTCGTGAGTCCCTGAGGGTGTTAAGAGGGGATTCAGGAAATCTCTAAGGATTCCCCAGGGACTTTACGGTGACTTCCCAGGGAATTGATGCATATTATCAGGATCTCTCCAGAAGCCACCATTGGAATTCTCTGAAAAATTCAAATTTATGAAACTTTTAGAGGGACTCCCCGGGGAGTTTTAGGGTATCCTGGGACATGCAACTCCTCCGAGTACTCACGACAGGAATTCCCCAGGGATTTCGCATTTTTCAGAAAACTTTCCGGTGATTTTGTTGGGAAGAGTCTACTGGGATTGAATAAATCATTATATTTACTTAAATATGACCAACAGTGGTAGTTCAAATCATTTGCTATGCGCTTTAAGAAATTACGCTGACACATTTAATGACTATATCATTTTAGTATGGTTTTTTCTGGATTTTAATGAAAAAAGTCATTTCTAAAACTTCTTTAGCGTTTTTCTCAAAACACGATTTCCAGGCAGAAAAAATGAAATAACTCCCACCCGGCTGATGGTATCACCGATGTTTCTTTTGTTTTAAAGGTCTGAATGAGAGCTAACTTTTCATCAGACCGATTTTTGATATTTAATTCCTGGAATGAGAAAAGTGGGATTTACTTTCGTGGAGACACCTTTTTTTATGCTTCGTTTGAATACCATATCCATTAAAATGCTCATAAAAAATGAATGGAAGAGAGTTTCAAAACGATGTCCGATGAAAAGTTGCGCACAGAGGCTAGCTTTAATTTGAAACCAGTCCGAGCTGTGTACCTTTTATAACAATGGAGTTATTTCGATTCTCCTAGAAGCTATAAAAATTATCTGGGTGTGGCTGTGGCTGTGAGTCTTCTCTTCACGCACACGCACACCCACACCCTCAAATCATCACACAAACACAATTCAGATTTGATTATGTTTGATCATTGATGATTATTTTATGTTAAGTAGTTCGAGAAGCGAACTTTTGATTGTCTTCTCTAAGAATAAAATTTATTGATTGTCATTCGAAATGATGATATTTAATCATAATACCATCAAATAATAAATTAGTTGATTTCGATTTCAGATTATAGTCGATTCTTTGCACATGGCTTTTTCCAAACGACTTAGTCTTCACCATCGTGAACTGGAAAAGAATCCAGCTCCATTATGTCATGCACAACCAGAAGATCCTGAAAATGATATCACTCATTGGATTGGTTATATTGATGGACCAGAAGAAACACCATTTGCTGGTGGAAGATTTCATCTCAATATTGACTTTCCAGAAGCATTTCCATTCCACCCACCACATATTCGTTTTATTACACCCATCTATCATCCAAATATTAGTACAAAAGGTGAAATATGTTTAGATATTCTTCATTCTCAATGGTCTCCAGCATTAAGTATTCGTGCTCTCTTAATATCCTTATGTTCATTATTAACAGATCCTAATGTTGAACATGGATTGAACCGAGACGCATTGAAACTCTATCAAACAGACAAGCAAAAATATGAAGAAATAGCAAGAGAATGGACAAGAAAGCATGCTACTAATTGCTAAAGCCTCAAGTGATCGAGATTTTTCTAAAATATGAATACAATTTTAACGAATCATTTTTTATACGAACAAGTTTTTCTATCATTGTTATGAGAACTCATGTTTTATTGAAAAGTATTTATTCAATTAACTTTATCTTTCTATCCATTCAACTTCATATTTCAAAGCAGGAAAAGCTTTGGGTGGGTGTGTGGGTGTGGGTGGGGGTGTGGCTAGGTGAGGGTGTGGGTGTGGGTGGGAGTGTGGCCGGATGTGGGTGTGAGTGGGTGTGGGTGTGAAAGTGGGTGTGGGTACTGATATTGTCACCATATAGCACACCCACCCACCCACATCCACACCCATACCTACCCACACCCATACCCACACCCACCCACACCCACACCTACACTCACACCCACCCACATTCACACCCACACCCCACACACTCACACCCACCCACACCGATACCCACACCCACACCCACACCCATACCCACACCCACACCCATACCCACACCCATACCCTATAAGATATATTTTACAGAATAAACTTTAATAGTTTATAAAGCTGAAACTTACAGTCATTTTTTGTACCATTGGTCTAATGAAACCAAATACTTTGAAGCTACGGAAGCGTGAATGAGAGTGATAGCTAGGATAATGCTGAATGAGAGGCTTTTTTTTTACCCTCATCCTCAAGACCATTAGCATACCCCATTTATGTTCAAATTCAACTGAGAAACATTCGTCCGATCGATGTGCATGTGTTCAATTAGGAACTTAGTTAGATATCTTTCTTCTCACTTCTCGGATATTGTTTTTCACACTATTGATAATAGTGACATACAAGGAACAACAATAAAAGCCAAATATCCATACATTATTAGATTTGTTTTGTTGATCTGTCACCTATGTTCTTTTTCTCTTTTTCGTCCTACTGATCGCACTCAAATCCTGCACTATTATTCAATAATAACATTAAATCAACAGCGAACTGTCATTTTTACAACAATCAGCACTAATGATACATATCGATTTAGCCAAAGTGACATATGAATATTTTCTCAAAGAATCACGTTCTATAGGCGGTAGTTACCAAGGTATAAGCACTAAGTTCTTTTGTTTTAGTCTTGGAACAAAGTCAACTTGCATAGGGTTAAGTATTTTATGTGGCTCTCTGAACTAATCAGTGAATAGACGATTCTAATTTGATCTTAAGAGAATTCTCATCGATTTTGTTCGAAAGTGTTCATCAGAAATGGATCATCGTAATTTGTTTCTGTTGACTGATCAATCTTGACTGGTTTGTTAGTGTGCATCAATTCATCATGGTAAGGTTCCGGTTGCAACCGTCCGACTGAACTCTGGTATGAACAATATCAATAGATTTCTTTCTCAGACATAATTCATTCGATCCCAAATACCAACTGACAGATAAGGGTGTGGGTGTGGATGTGAGTATGGATATGTGTGTGGGCGTGGGTGTGAATGTGTAGCCGTGGGTTTGAATGAAGAGAAAATCCACCTCCACACCCTCACACCAACCTTCACACTCCCACACCCCCACACCAACCTCCACACTCCCATACCCCCACACCGCCACACCAATCTCCACACCCCATACCCATCTCCACATCCCACACCCACCTCCACACCCCCACCCCCATCCCCACACCCACTCTCACACCCAATCCATGTTTGTCCATTTATATCACCAATTTTCAAATTGTAGAATACAAATAGATCCTAGGGCATCCCTATGATCAACCGCCGGTGTGACATGATTTCAACGAATGAAAAAATATGTACCACATTCCTCGTTCAAACGAATATACGAGGACTTTATTTTTTCCGAGTAACATCGTGAAATCATTTAAACCTCTTTTTTATATTTTCAATGTTTGTTTTCACAAGTGCCAAATGAGGATGCATAGAAGGCAGCGACTGTTTCAAAACTTCAAGTGATGTTTCCAATGACAAAAGTGCTTTTGAGTGCTCGCCCATGTGAGAATACACTGCAGCGATGTTGTTGTAGGAAACAGCCAAGTCAGGATGATTCGGAGAAAGAGCTATTTTTCGGATTCCAAGTGCTCTCTCGTACAATGAAAGTGCTTTCGAGTACTCGCCCATGTGAGAATACACTGAAGCGATGTTGTTGTAGGAATGGGCCAAGTCAGGATGATTCGGAGGAAGAGCTATTTTGCGGATTTCAAGTGATCTTTCGTACAATGAAAGTGCTTTCGAGTACTCGCCCATGTGAGAATACACCATAGCGATGTTGTTGTAGGAAGCAGCCAAGTCAGGATGATTCAGAGAAAGAGCTATTTTTCGGATTCCTAGTGATTGTTCGAAGGATGAAAGTGCTTTCGAGTACTCGCCCATGTTATCATACACCATAGCGATGTTGTTGTAGGAACCAGCCAAGTCAGGATGATTCAGAGGAAGAGCTATTTCGAGGATTTCATGTGATCTTTCGTACAATGAAAGTGCTTTCGAGTACTCCCCCATATGAGAATACACTGAAGCGATGTTGTTGTAGGAAGCAGCCAAGTCAGGATGATTCGGAGGGA